GGAGGAGGAGATGGGCAACCTGTTCTCATAGTCAGCCAAGTTCAACAGGATGGTCACGATCCCCAGGATGAAGCAGATGGAGTACACGGCCACACACGACACCAGCAATGGGTGGTCCATGTACAGGCTGGCGTTGCTGATGAAGGGTAAGATGACACAGGCCACCAGTGTCTCTAGCATCTTGAGCAGGAATGGCAAGCTGCCTATGTAGCCAGTGAAATCATCCATCTGGGGCCAGCCCAAGATCCAGATTGCTTCGGTGGCATAAGCCACAGTAGAGATGAAGCAGAACGCAGTAGCAGCGATGGCGTGGTCCCAGGAGGGGGTGTAAAATAAGAACTGAACATAGGTAGCGGGGTAAATGATGGAGACCAAGAGGCAGAAGAGGGCGAGGTAGCAGGCATGGCAGAGAAGAAAATCCCCCCAAGAGAAGGAGAAGCAGTACTGTAGTGCCAGTGATTCGATTATGAGGATGATGAAGGTCACCACAAAGCAGAAGCACAAGATAACAAAGGACCAGTTACTTGTGGGCACCGTCCAGCTGTCCAGGCTGCCCACTAGTGAGATGGCCACGCAGGTGGAGAGCAGCTGCAGTGTTCGGAGGAAGTAGCCCATGATGGCCCAGAGGTCCAGGCCTCAGGACGATCATGTGGAGGTCACGATGGTCATGCAGGCCACCTTCACCAATATGAGAGTGGTCTTGGCTGAGGACCCACTGGAGAAAGATCCAGCTTCAGAGGTGTATTAAGTCAGATGCCAGGGAAAGGCTCAGGGCTCTGTGAGGGCTGAGGCTCAGGATCTGTGGAGTTGGAACCAATGTCTCAAACACTCAGGTAATAGCACAGTCGCTCCAGAATGGTTCTCCCCACCCACCACCCTTGGCCTTGTCAGGAGACTTGTCTTATCCCAAAACTCCCAGCTGGGTTGGGTCTGGCTTCAAACCATGAACATATTTTTGCCCTTTGAGCTGTGTCATTATCTATAGAAACACAGAGTAGGATAGCCTTTATCTGACATCCCAAGCCTTTAGGCTCTGAAAATTAAAAAGTATTAAATAATTCATTTGGTAACAGAATTTGACCTAAACATACACTAGATATTTAATGATCTTTATTTATTTTACCTGGGGCTTCCCTATTAGCTCAAGAGTAAAGAATCTGCCTGCAATTCAGGAGCCTCAGAAGACACAGATTTGATCCTGGGGTTGGGAGGATTCCGTGGAGCAGAGCATGGGAACCCACTCCAGTATTCTTGCCTGGATAAGTCCATGTGTTGCAGGAAGGGGGACCCCTTCCAGGGCCCAAAACTGGGCTTTTGTCTAACACTTGGAAATGAATTGTCCGAGGAGACACATGTGCTGACAAAGCAAAAGATTTTATTGGGAAAGGGCACCTGGGTAGAGAGCAGGAGGGTAAGGGAACCCAGGAGAACTGCTTGGTCACATGGCTTGCAGTCCCAGGTTTTATGGTGATGGGATTAGTTTCCGGGTTGTCTTTAGCCAATCATTGTGACTCAGAGTCCTTCCTCGTGGTGCACGCCTTGTTCAGCCAAGATGGATGCCAGCGAGAAGGATTCTGGGAGGTGGTCGGACAGATGGTGTCTCCTTTTGACCTTTCCCAAACTCTTCTGGTTGGTGGAGGCTTATTAGCTCCCTGTTCCTTACCAGGACCTCCTGTCCTAAAACAACTCATGCAAATGGTTACTACAGTGCCTGGCCAGGGTGGACGGTTTTAATCAGCGTGCTTCCCCTAACACTTCCTCACAGCCTGCTTTCACTTTCTGTTGAGAGAAGGAAACGGGCCTCTGAAGGAGCTGTGGAGCTGTTGACTGAGTGAGTAGAGGGGTGTAGAGGTGGAAGCCCCCTTCCCACCTGTTTGGGGATATTCTTTGCCCTTTGGAACTTTGGGGTCAATCTGACAGCACAGGAGTGGGACCTGGCTCTGTACCAGTCTCTACGCAAGGGGGAGTTTGTATGTTTGTTTGTTATCTGTTCCAGGGGAGTGGGTGAAGTGAAGTGGAGGGGCCTACATCCATCCAGTGGACTTCTAGACTTTGTAGAAGTCCACTGGACACATCCTGGAAGGTTGGCAAAACTAGAGCTATGACCTTGTTTTTAAAAAGTTTCTTTTTTTAAATTGCAATACAGACTGGCCCAGTTTCTGAAGAACGGTGGCCCCTGAATGGGTCTCTAATTCCTCCACTGTTTGGAGTTAGAACTAATTTGTCAAAGATCTGGTAAGTGGGAGGGAACTCCATGTATAGGTTTTCCTGTTACTCTATAGTTAACAGTAACAGGGCAGTGAAAGGCAAAATTCTTCCAACAAGGGCACTAAATTGAAGCCGAAAGGGAAACAAAAGTGTGAAAAGCCTGCCCACTTTAAAGAGTTTTGCAGGCGAGGGAGGGAGAAGAGGGGATCAGCTTCTTATGGAACTGAATCTCCCTCACCTCAGTGGTTCCTATCCTAATGCCCCAGGCAGGGGCTGCCTAGGTCTGCACCCCCCTCCTCCAGTCTCTGGACCTGGACCGAAAAAGAATTCTATTGTTCTAACACCAGGGGAGTTCTAACTGGGGTAGAGACTGAGTGCCCCCACCTTCACCACCCCCACCACCCCCCCCTCACCCCCAGCATGAGAAAAGGAGAATCTGAAATAGTTTCTTCCTTTAAGACCTGACAGGACACTCAGTTTGGCCAGGGTGTGTCCACTACAAGGGGAGGAGGAGGGAGAGGGTAGATTTCCAATAAGGCGATTCCCTGAAGGAGATCTGAGTGCCAGAGGACAGCCAGTTGGCTATTATTGGACTTTGCTTTCCACCTCAAACCTACTAAACCACAAAAACACCAGTCCTCCGTACACAGGTGATCCAGAAAAAATGGTAGAAACGTTCATTAGTATTTTTTTCAACCCACCGCCCAACGTAGGCTGATGCACAGACGTGGGTGATGATTGTGTTCACAGCGGAGGTGCAGCACCTTGTCCCGGGCAAAGCCCAACATTCATCTCTGTGTTCGGCCTCTTGAGGAATGAGCAGACAAGCCTGAGTTGGCTAACACAGCTAAGGCGCCTCCAGAAGCTAAAAGAGACAAGAGGGCCTCCCCGGGGCATCAGAGACAACACAGTCCTGCTGACATCTTGTTTCAAAACGCTGACCTCCGGAACTGTGAGAGAACACATTTCTGTTGTTTCAAGCCACCAGGCTTGTGATAATTCACTGCAGTAGCCCTAGGAAATCAAGATGAATTTCCAAAAATAAAAAGTGTATTCTTTGTCTTATTTTTTTTTAAGTTTTCAGAAAAGCTTGCTGACCTTCTTCCCTAGAGCATGGTGGTCACATGGATCCCAGGACTCCTTGTCGTATCCTGTGTCCTCCAGTGTCTGAGACTCACAGGGAAGGGTCCACTGATCTAGAGAAGGGGGGTCAGTCCAAATGCCCACAAGAACGAGGAGGGAAGGAAATAAGTAAAGGGGATGGAGAGGACTAGGGTCCCTGGAGGGGCCCAGCTGCACCCATCTGGTGTGGTGAAAAAGCAAGATNGCCACGTGTCCCTGTCACAGCCCTGAAACCCCTTCAGGCCCCTGTTCTCCTGTCTCAGTTCCAGTCCAGGCCCCTCCTCCATGGGGAAGGTTGGCTCCATGCCCGCATCTCTTCTGGGTCAGAAGATACCTACAGGGCTGCCTCAGGGCCTGGAATCCCCCGAGTCATCTCCCCTCTGCCAATCCCACCCCCGCCCCAGTCCTGGGTGCATCCTTAGGGCTGTCACCTCCCAGGGGTCCTGCAGGTGCCTCCTGTTTCAACTCCTGGCCTTAAAAGGGGGCCAATCATCTATCCATCCCCACCCCCTCCCTGGGATGCCCTGAAAGACTATACATCAGCATCAGACACAGCATCCTTGTTCATTCCCAATCCGTTCTTCCCAGCTTCGAAGCTGCTAACCAGTCTCCCAGGCTGGGAAAACCCACACAGGTAGGAGTACTCCTAGATCTTTCCAGACTGGCACATGGATGGCTGCTTTGGAGCTTAAGAGTCAAACATTATGTTAATTTGTTCTGTGATTTCTCCAAGACACTCCTCCTTGGAGTCACACTGGGTTGAGATCTCCCCTCCCCAATGGGGAAGCGTCACATGTTGAGGCAAACTTGGGTGGAGGGGATTCACAACAGCCCCTACTCCCATGTCATCCTGTCCCCACGGCCTTGTTCTCACTCATGCCTCCTCCCTGCTCACCCCTGGAGCTGCCCTCCTCTGGGTGGGGTTGTGTCCCCTCAGATGGCAGCCCCTTCTAGTGATGCTGCTGGGAGGAGAGGCCGGGACACGTGTGTCTTCAGGTTGCTGTGGAAGGAGGCCATGGCCCTGAAGGTGGGTTCTGGGTCCCAGAGCCCCGTGCTTTGGTCCTGGGCTCCCACCCACGGGCCCTGCTGTCATGTGGGCTGTAGAGTCAAGGGTTCAAACCCACAGCTTTGGCATTTTTATCTGGGTTCCCATTCCTAAACTTACAATCTTAGGGGAGGCCCTTAATTGCCTAAGTCTTACTGTTTTCATTGAAAATGAGGTTAGCAGTACAATCCACAGTCTTTTTTCTGAAATCCCTTTGGGACAGATATGCTTCTGAGTTCAGAAACTTTCTGCTTCCGACTAGTAACAATGTGCATCTACTCTATATGACATCACACCCCACTGGTGTCTAAAAACAATTTGTGATCAAACACATTCATTTCGGCAACTGTTCTTTTGAACATTCACTTTCATTGAAATAAACAAAAATCGTTAATTGTCCTAGGTCTGTTCAGGTCAAAATTTGCTACCAAACTATTTTTTTTTTAATTCTTTTTCAAGAAACATGAAGGTTTGTGATTGTAGAAAAGGAGCAGTATACTCTATATTCCTTTAGATAATGGCACTTAGCACAAAAAGATAAAAAATATACACACAGTTTTGATGCCACCCTCAATCCAGCTGTGAGGTTTAGGATAAAACAAGTCTCCTGAAAAAGCCACCAGTGATGGGTGAGGAGAATCATTCTGGAGTGGCTGTGCTGTTACCCAAGTGTCTTAAGTCATTGGTTCTAACTCTACAGGTCCTGAGCCTCAGCCATCACAGGGCCCTGGGTCGTTTTCAGGACAGTCCTGAGCCTCAACTGTCACAGGGCCCTGGGTCGTTATCAGGATGGTCCTGAGTCTCAGCCGTCACGGGGCCCTGGGTCGTTTTCAGGCATCTGACTCAATCCAGCTCCAGATCTTGCTCTTTCTCAGGTGGATCTTCAGTGAGGACCATTGCCACAACCAGTGACCGTGACCTGCCTGACCATCACAACCCCATGTCCACCTGGTCCACATCCCCAGACCAGGACTACTTGGCCTTGGTGTGGCTCTGCCTCCACCTGCTGCAGTTGTTCTCCACCTGTGTGGCCTTCTGGCTGGTGATTTCTGGCCTTCAGAAGTGGAGCGTAGGTGCCAGGGCCGTAAATATCTGGGCCTTGCTCATCTGGTTCCTCTCTTTGCCCATAAGCCTCATTGTAGTCATAGTTGAGTTATATTACATCCAGTTCCACTTTCATTTCTCATACCACATGCCCCTCACAGATGCCTGCTTCGCTGCTCACGTCTGTTTCTCACTATACGTGGTCCAGTCTATACGGAGCCTCGGGTTTTCACTGTATGGCCCTTTCATAGACCGGGTCAACGTTGCCCTATCATTCACCTACATTACGTGCTTCTTTTATGGTGTAGAAGTGTCCTGCATGTGGAACTGCTACAAGCTCAAGGACCTCACCTGCAGGGTGTGCTAAAGGTGCTGGAGAGCTTTGCTGCCTGTGTCATCCTCGCCTTCATCTTCAACACCTCCCGGCACCCGAAGGAGCCAGCTTACTGGTGGTGTCTAGCCATCTATTATTTCTGCTTCGCCCAAGTGACCGTGGCCACGCTGCTGGGCCTGGGCAACTGGGAGTACTGGCTGCCCGTCCAGGTTGTGCTGACCCTGCTCTCTGTCCTCCTCTACTCCTCTGCTTTGGTCCTCTGGTGGCTCACCCAGTAAATGAGGAGACTGAGATCAAGCCCGAGGGATTCTGGCACCTGTACATATTGGGGCTCACCCACTGCTCGAGTTGCAGGGACTGTCGACTGGCTGTGGCCATCCTGACAACCATCAACCTGCTGATTTATGTGGCTGACCTGGTGATTTCAGCCCGCTAGGTTTTTGTCAAGGACTGAGGATCAGCCCTCTTGTCAATGGAGGTTTCTACACTAAGCTCTGATGTCATCTTCCTAGCTCCCCTTCTCACACCCTTCCCTGTTCTTCTCTCTATTTTTTCTTCTTCCTCCTCTCCATCTGCTCTTTGTCCTGTTTTATGTGTTTGCCCACACCCTGTTTTGTCTTTCTCTTGCTTCTCTCATCTTTTCTACATTTTCTGCCTTTGCCCCTTTTCTGATCATCCTTGGTTTTCTTGTCTCCTATGTCCTGACCATTTTCCTGCTGATCCATCAAGACCAGACTTCTTCCTTCTCTGCCCACCACCCCTTCCCACCTCCTAAGGTGCTGACTTCACAGCACACACCTCTCTGTGTGGCTGTTCACACCCTGGACATCTGGAGGGGCCTCGTTACCAAAGCAAGTCTCTACCCCTGGCGGTGTCTTGGTGTGTGTGGGTGGGTTTGGGAGTGGGGCGGGTAACTAGGCATTGGGTCCCAATTATCCGAGTAGAGTAAGGGGTGTACTTGTGCCCTCCCTTCAATTAAAAAAAAAAAAAAAACTCAAGAGGTCAATTATTTCCAGTGGGCAGAAGTCTTAAAACAGAGGCCCTGGATTCCAGGGCCCCACCTGGTGTTCAGCTCCTCTGAGATTGGCTCCAGAATTTTTGCAGACTCACTAAACACCCGCTGCCTAGAGGGCATCTTAGAGGAAGCCAGGTTAATGCCTTCCATCCTAACTACCCTCTAGGGAATCAAAAAAAGGGAGCTGGTGAAGAACCCAGGACCTTGAAGACACTTGTCTGCAGTGTTGGTTGAGGGGCAGCGTTGTGGCCCTCCTGCCTCAGTGTTCAAAACAGCAGGCCCTGCCTCTGCAGGGAGAAGAGCATGGCCACTGCAGCCTTAAAGGCGATGTTAGGCTGAGATTTTTTTTTTCTATCTTCTGATCAGGAGGGTAAAAATTATTGAGTAACCCTGTACTTAAAAGGGGAAGTTTCTTTTCAGATTTTCTTGGGCAGGTGGTTTGTGGGGGTGGGGGTTGCTGCTTCCATTGTCAAAGCAACTGCAGTGCTTGAGTGTGAGGGGACACACACTTGTGTGTTGCTCTGTGCCAGTTGCTTTCTGCTGTTGTTTCTTGGTTCTCTGAGACTCAGGCATAATGTGATCTAGATCAGTGTATATAATTTTTAAAAATTCCCTGGAGCTTCTGGTTCCCATCAGTCCCTGATGTCAGTCATAGAGAAAAGGCTTGTCCCTTTGCCTATATCCACAATGTCCCTTTTTAATCTCAATATAATGATGAGAGAAGCAAAATTAAAAAAATGAGAAAGATATTCACATATTCTAATTGCCCCAATTTGTCTAGAGTGCAGAAGAGTCCAGCCAATTTCCACCCTCACCCAAATCTGTTTCTGGAAGCCCTTCCCACTGACTCCCCATCCACACCTGGATCAAAGCCTTGGGGTGTGGCCCAGCCTGTGACACAAGACGTGGGGTCCCACCTCAATGACAACATCCCATCCCCCTAACTCTTAAAGGGGCCTTTGCAGGAAGGTGTGTCCTTGTATGTATGCATAGTGCACATGTGTGTGCATGCTGTGTGCCCATGTGCTCCCCTGTATTGAGACCAGCAGCCCTTTGCAGTAACCGGTGGTTGTGAAGGCCCCACAAGTCTCCTGTCCTCAATCACAGAGCCTCAGAGCCCAGCATCCTGGTGTCACCAGGACCAGAGGGGCCAGGCAAGCAGAGCTGCGGGGGAGGGGAGGGGAAGGACCCCCACTTCTGCCTTTCACTCCTGGACTGGGATGAAGCCATGTGTTGTTCACCCAGGGGCAGGTGGGATGGAGCAGGGGGCACTCCCAGGAGGTAGTCCCTATGGCAGACAAATCTTAAGAAGCATTGAAATAAAATTAACATTTTAAGGAAAAACAAGAGAAATTTAAACATAAACTTTTGGTTAAATACTGCAGAGATCACATGAAATAAGCACTGAAAAGTGTCCACTGGATGTGACCATTTGAAAGTCATTGACAGCCTTGCTTAGAGCTTTTCATGAAGTCCTCAGGACAGAAGCCAGTGCATTGGAGACAGAGAAAGAGAAGGAAAGACAGTAAATATAGGTTTCTCCTGGGGTAGCTAGTGCCTGTGAAGGGAAAGAGAAGGTCACAGTTGGAGAGGAGCCATGGGTCAAGGGAACCTAGATGATAAGTTTGCAAAAGGCCATTTACTATTGCTTGACTTCAACCCAAAGGAACATCCAAATACTGACCCAAGGTCCAAAGGGGGAAAATATTTTTTAATGCCCAGAACATGATAAAATGTGAATCCGGGTGACAGTGTATGAAACCATTTATGTAAATAGTAAATTTGTTAACTTGTTATCTGTCTGAATGGTCCAACTTTTTTGGAGTCAGAACAGGAAATAAAGAGAAAAAGAGTAAAGGTTATTAATGTGAAGAAACTTGTGATTATCACTTCAGGGTTACTTACTTCATGAACCCAGAGCTTCTGTATAGTATATTGGACAGTAGATGCATGCGGCTATTTAATTTTTTTAAATCATATCCTTTTGTTTTATTTATTTATTTATTTTAGCCAAGCCATGCAGCATGTGGGATCTTAGTTCCCCAAACAGGGTCTGAACCTGTGCCCCCTGCAGTGGAAGTGCAGTCTTAACCACCAGAGAAGTCCCCTTATTTTTAACTAAATAAAATTCAATAGATTGAAACATGCAAGTCCTCAGTCTTACCAGCCACATTTCAAGCACCATATACCCACTTGTTGGAGGCTACTGTATTGAACAAGGCAGGTATAGAATATTTCTATCACTGCAGAAAGTTCTACTGGGGACTTCCCTGGTGGTCCAGTGGTTAAAAATCCACCTTGCAATGCAGGGAATGTGGGTTCAATTCCTGGTTGGGGAAGTAAGATTCCACATGTCATGAAGCAACTAAGCCTGCATGCCACGACTACTGAGCCCATGTGCATCAACTAGAGACTCCATGCACCACAGCCAAAGGTCCCATGTGATGCAACTAAGACCCGATGAAGCCAAATAAGTGAATAAATAAATATTTTAAAAGTTTTTCTTTGCTTGCCTTTTTTCTTTTTTTCCAGGGTTTTTTGTTTGATTGCTTTTTTTTTTGGGTTTTTTTTTTTTTTTTTTTTCTTTTTTCTTAACTTTTTCTTAACTGTTTTCTTTTTCCTTTTTGTTTTTTTTTCCCCCAATTTTTTTTTTTCGGATTTTAATTTTGCATTCGGGGTTTTGGTTATTTTCCTTTTCCTTAGGTTTTTTTTTTCCACATTGTTTCCTTGCCACACTTGAACCTTACACAATCTACACAGATATTTCAGTGTTTTTGCTAATCGAGGTGATAAGGGAATAACAGAAAATAAGGTTTTGACACAAAATTGGCCTACCAACTTTCCTGAAACAGTCCACTAAAAATTCATACAGGTTGATTCATGTCAGTTTCATTTTTATCTAGCAATTTCTTTTCTGCTGTTGTTAATTTCTTACTGAATTTCCCCTTGGGGAATAGTCTAAAAATACATATTTCCTTAAAAACAATCAGCCCCTCTGGTAGGCTGGAAAAATATTTCTTGGAGCGATAACCTTGTCAACTCCCATATCCTGTGAATGTTATTTATCTGGAAAAGAAAAAGATCTTTGCAGATGTGACTAGATTAAAGTTAAAGTGAGCAGAGAAGGGAGGAGGAGGCCAATATTGGGCCGGGTGGTGGGGCAGAAGGAAATAGGGTCAGATTCCACATATGGGAAAGTATTGAAGAAACTGGAGCCTTGTAACCTGGACAGTCAAGAACTCAGGGTTGAGACAGACATGAGGATGAGGTGAAGATGGGTGACAGGTCGCCATGTGGAAGTGACACTGGATTTATCCTGGCTGGAAACTTCAGTGGGGAAAGTCCTGTGAGTATAAACCAGGGACCCAACCCTCTGAGCAGTGCTTCCCAGACAGTGACTCCTCTGTCCTTGGGCACATCCAGGCCAGGGTCCATGGCCCAGGTGAAAGCAGTCAGGAGGCAGGTGGGAGGTGGGCTAGGGCTCAGGGCTCAACCTGGTGCCCTGTGGTTCAGACACAGCCCTGAACATGTTCCCATGGGTCAACGTTTATTCACAGACACCATCAGCTGGGCTGAGAGGCACCTGCCCAGTGCAGCCTGCATTCTCAGTCCTGACAAGCATCAGGCCGGGGTCACTCGCTTGTTCCTGGACCAGCTGCTTAGGCACTGGGGTGGTGAGACTTGGAGCAGAGGTCCTGACCACACTCATCATCCTCCCCGTTTCTAGGTTCACACGCAGCCCCCCCTCCCCCCGGGGCAGGAGGGGACACACAGTGTCTTCCCACAGGCTCAAGTGAGAGCACGTCCCAGCCAGGACTGCCATGCCAGATGCACTCCCCCTCCACAGGCTGTTCCCCCTTCCTCTCCTCCCGCTGCCATCCTGCTGGGTCTATCCTGGTCTCCAGGGGCTGGTTCCTACCACCCAGGACAGCAGAGGCACTCGTGGAGCCTCCTGGCCTGCAGCAGACTGTCCCCAGGGTGTCGAGGGCTTAAGAAGGGCACAAGGGCAGGTGTTCTGTGAGCCGAGATGAAGGACAACGTGGCGACGCGCACCCTCCCCCCGGCCCAGGACAGGATGGCAGAAGCAACGAAGCAGAGAGAAGGTGGGGGGCGGATGGCGAGAAGAGGGGCTGGGGAACTAACCTGGAGAAGCAGAGTGGGGCAGCTAAAGGGCTTGGGTATCAGCTGGGCTGAGAGGCACCTGCCCAGTGCAGCCTGCATTCTCAGTCCTGACAAGCATCAGGCCGGGGTCACTCGCTTGTTCCTGGACCAGCTGCTTAGGCACTGGGGTGGTGAGACTTGGAGCAGAGGTCCTGACCACACTCATCATCCTCCCAGTTTCTAGGTTCACACGCAGCCTCCCCCCCCGCCCCCCGGGGCAGGAGGGGACACACAGTGTCTTCCCACAGGCTCAAGTGAGAGCACATCCCAGCCAGGACTGCCATGCCAGATGCACTCCCCCTCCACAGGCTGTTCCCCCTTCCTCTCCTCCCGCTGCCATCCTGCTGGGTCTATCCTGGTCTCCAGGGGCTGGTTCCTACCACCCAGGACAGCAGAGGCACTCGTGGAGCCTCCTGGCCTGCAGCAGACTGTCCCCAGGGTGTCGAGGGCTTGAGAAGGGCACAAAGGCAGGTGTTCTGTGAGCCGAGATGAAGGACAACGTGGCGACGCGCACCCTCCCCCCGGCCCAGGACAGGATGGCAGAAGCAACGAAGCAGAGAGAAGGTGGGGGGGCGGATGGTGAGAAGAGGGGCTGGGGAACTAACCTGGAGAAGCAGAGTGGGGCAGCTAAAGGGCTTGGGAAGAAGAGACCGAAAGGCGAAGGTTGTTGAGAAGCACAGCTCTCCCTTCTCCCTGTTGCCTGGGGTGGACCCTGACCTGCTCTTTTCAGAACTGAGGGCAGAAGAGCAGGAGGCAGTGACCTCCACGCGGATGCCTAAACAGGCTGGAGCAGAGTTCACTGTGAGCCCACTTGTTTCCATGATGGCTACAGAGTCGGGATTATTATCCCCATTTCTCAGACGAGACGACTGAGGCGGGAGTTGCCCAGATATGCATAGAGCCATAGGTGACAGCAGGGCTCCTGGGTTGTCCCAGGTCTGCTCTCTGAGGAGTTGCTCCCAGTGGCCTGCTGGGGAGGACAGAGCCGGGGCTCAGAAGCCAGGCTGGGGTCACTGGAGGACTGTGAAAGATGACCTGTGTGAAGCACAGAGCCCAGAACCAGTGACAAAGTAGCCCCTCGACAAACATCACCTCCTATGCCTCCTTCCATCACAACCTCGGTGAGAAAACCCAGCATTTGCAGCATCAACACCAGGTGTGTGGGGACCCAGCTAGGTCAGGGGTCCAGAGGGGCAGCAGGGGCAGCTCTGCCTTTATTAAGATCAGGGGTGATGGTGCTGTTCATGGATCCCCACCACCCCCAGCCTGGTGCTGGGCACCCTGCCTATGGGGGACCTCAGCCCCCTCCTCAACCCTTTGATGGACGGGACCCTGAGCTCACAGAGGTAGACACGGAGTCAAGTGGACTGACTGGGGTCTGTCCAGATCATCAGCCTGTGCTTCCCACGTGTCAGCGCTTCCCCCAGAGAGCTGGCTGTGCAGGGGGCACAGAGCTTGTGTTTGAGAAGCGCTGCCCACATCAGGCGACTGTGCGGTGCAGCCACGAATGAGCCACTGGCCTAAGGGCTGAGCACCTCCAAGGGAACTCCAGTCACTGGTCCAGCCTCACCCCATCATCTCCCTGGGCTGCCTGTTCATGCAGAGAGAGGACATAGCCCCGCAGGACATGTCCTAAATAGCCCACTGCAGGGATGAGGGGCTCCAGGTGAGGTTAAGAACCCAAGGGATTGAAATCCAAGTTCAAACCTTGGAGAAGGAAATGGCAACTCACTTCAGTATTCTTGCCTGGAGAATTCCATGGACACAGGAGCCTGGCAAACTACAGTCTATGGGGTCGCAACAAGTCAGACACGACCGAGTGCCTAACAGTTTCATTTTCACTTTCATGACACCAAACTACTGTGCTTTTCACTCAAGGACGGGGGAGGGGAGGGAGACGCTGCTTTACAACAGCAGTGCCTGCTATTTGTACCACTGAACCAGGTGATGTAGGTGGTACCACCTGGGAACTGCGTCTGGGAGAGCGGGGATGTGTAGCCTGACCTCTCAGGGTTCTCTCCTGCTCTGGCTCTAGGGTTTAGGGTCATGACCTCTGTTGTTGTTATTATTATTATTATTATTTTAATGGACTTTGGAAGCTGTTGGGTTGGGTGGGGCTACCCATCTGGCTGTGAGTGGCCACCAGGGAGAGCACTTGGTGATAGGTTGTTGCTGAACCATGAAAAGACGCTGGGATTCTTGGCCTCCAGAGAAGAATTCAATCCTGGGCCAGAGACAAGGCTTGATTGCTCAGAGCTTTTGTGTAATAAAGTTTTATTAAAGTATAAAGGAGATAGAGAAAGCTTCTGACATAGGTATCAGAAGGGGACAGAAAGAGTACCCCTTTTTAACTTCATGTTATATAGCCACTAGAAGTCTGTTAATGAAAGAAAGGAATGCCTTAAAACTGAGAGAATGGTACCAGGCCCCTCATCCATAAGATGTATTTGGGGATAATCTTGGCACCAGACAAGTCAGACCGGGCCATAAAACGACTGACTTGAGTCTTGTAGAAAGGCAGATTACCATATAAATAGTTTTGTTTACATAGATTAGGGGAACAATGTCTGAGTATAACACAATGGTTTGTCAAGTTGGTTCTGAGCCATTAGGCGAACTGACTTGAAGACAGAGTCTGGGGTAAATGCATTATATATTAACATAGCTTAAGACAAACATTTCCGTAAGAAAAATGCATTGGTTAACTCAAGGTTTCAGAATAGTTAACTTCAGGTGGAACCGGGTGTCATTATGGCAACGCAGTATTTTAAGAGAAGCCTCCTTTTAAATTGGTATGGAGAAGGGAAAAAAATATCGCTAGTTTGTTTCCTCCTGCCGCTTAAGAGAGAGATAAAAAATGTCTGACACTTGAGCCCATGTCCTCCATTTGGAGACCCCTGGTCTTCCTGCCTGTTACCCTGTCATTGAGTCTTCTCTCCCCAAGGCTGACTTGCAGGTAGAACCAGCCGAGGGACATTCTGGCAGGAGGTGTGAGGGGCTGCGTCTTTAACACGGGTAGGGGGTGTCTCTAAGGAGCCTTAGATGCCCTCACTCAGCCACTGCGCTGAGGCTCAGGGCAGCCAGGGCAGTGCTGCGGCCTGGCCTGGAGGCTGACCCCAGGCTCCCTGACTCCTAGCCCCTCGTTCTTTCCAGGGCTTCAGGCTTCCTCGAAAGGAGAGGCACCAGGATTCCCAAAGTAAAACCTTTCCCGAAGGAAATCTCTAACTCGACCTCCAGCTTTGGCTCTGGGGTTTGGATGTCCCCAGGGGAGGGAAAATGCCTCCTTGCCTCCCAGGTAGGTGCTGAGGTGAGCGAGCGTCAGGACCCAGAGGGTGGCATGTGTCGTGGCACCAGCCCCGTCTTGAGCTGCATGCCTCCTGCACAGCCAGCTCTCAGAGGAGGAAGCACGGTCGTGGGGCAGGGACAGGGGCTTCCATCTCCACGTTTGAGTCTCCAAGACTGGCAAGTCCAGGGGCCCCGGGAAGAGGGGGGCTGGGAGGGACCAGGGGTCTCTGGCACCCCTCCCCCATCTAGCAGATGAGGAAACTGACTCAGCAGCAGTGAGTGCCCTCCTTGGGGGGATGGGGTGGGTTTCTGCAGAATGAGGGTGGAAGGGGCAGAATCCCATCCTGGAGGATGCTGCTGCCACACTTATCACAAGCAGCGTGGGGCCGTCGACAGCCAGCCAGCTTGGGGACAAGACACTTGGGTCCTGACTCCGACTCTGCCACACTCAGGGTGATTCTCAACAAGTCCTGACCCTCCCTGGGGTCCAGCTGCTCCTCTATGACGAGAGGGTTGGACTAAGCAGAGGGCCTTTACACTCTCTTTTGAGCTCCACAGTGAGGGGACTGGACCAGCCTTGGAATTGTGACAAATGACACTTAACCCCTCAGCAGGGGGGATGGAGCAGCTGCCCTCATGAACCATGAGGCTTGGACAGTGAGCCCCTCAGGTGAGCCCACCCTGGGCAATTCTTTTACTAAAGCAGAGAGGCACCTTCATCTTCCTGGGAAGTGAGGTCCCAGGGTTGTTTTCAATTTGATTTAGGAAAATAGAAGAATATGAAAATCCTGTACCTAGACTTACAGGGGTAAATGCATACTTGTTTTTCTCAATGAAAAAAAAAATTAATCACTAGTCAATCTAAGAAAGAAACTGAAAACTTTATTCAAGCCAACCTGACAACTATAACCTGGGTCCCAGTTTTCCAGGAAACTATGAGAACTGTTCTGAAGACATAAGGCAGGAGACTAGTATGTATGTGATTTGGGGGAAGGGGAACATGCAAACAAGCACACAGAGGCTTGGTAGAGGCTTACTGCTTGGTAGAGGCTTACTGCTCTTCCCAGGGAAAAATATTTTAGCTAATGGCTTTCATGCTTTTCTAAGTATGAGAAGATGCAAGAACAGAGTTCTTAAAAATTTCTCCTAAAAAACTATCGCTATCTGAGGGCAGGTTTTCCCAGAGCACAAAATGCCTCATTCTGAGTTTCCCCCCTGAATTCCTTCCAGGATCGACTGTAGGTCAGTGACCGCAGTGGCTAATGACTTGATTCTTGTACAACTGGGTGGTGGGCGACATTCTTTACTGCACAATCCCCTTCCTTTTGATCTTAATTTCAAGCAAGGTTTTGGAGGCTTTTTTGGCTAGTTTGTCCCAGGGTTCTAGGAATGTGCATTCCAAAATCAATCCAGGATTTTGTTGTTAGGCCACTGAATGTACTGTTACTCACCCAGTCCTGGTAACAGTAGCCAAATCCTCTGGACCACCTGCCTTACTAGTCTGTCAGCTCCAGGAAACGGCTTCCTCCTGTTGCCTCTTTCCCTCCCGTATCCAGAGTCACACTATTACAGTCATGGATCTTATAGAATTTTACATCAAATCAATTGTTTCAAGTCACTTGGTCATCATAATTGTTTATTATAGGCTCAATCACTCATTTGTTAATTCAAGAAACAAGAGTCTTGTAAAATAGGTAGAATAAAGTAACATAGCTAGTGACGTTAATAAGGTCCTAAATAAGTAAGTAGTGTTGCCTTCTAAGGAGTTACATGTGTGTACCAGAGAAACTCATCTTTATGTTTGAGTAGGTATTTCTGCCCTTGATGAGGGCTGGTTAACACGTAATACAGATGCACAAAGTGTACTAGAATGGAGGGAAGAGGCCAAAAAAGAGAAAATTTTTATCTTTAAACTTTTCTTATCTTGCTTTAAAATAAAAATTTTATTTCAGTCCTTCTTAAGATTTCCCTGTGATGAGGATGGCCTCCTGGGAGCCCTCCCCCTCCACCCCACCTGCCCCCAGGTGAAGATCACACGCTTCATCCCAGTACAGGAGTGAGGGTCAGCAGAAGGGGTCCTCCCCCTCCCCTCCCCTCCCCCACAGCTCTGCTTGCCTGGCTCCTCTGGTCCTGGTGACTCTAGGATGCTGCGCTTGAGGCTTTGTGGTTGAGGACAGGAGATTGAGGGGCCTTCACAGCCATCGGTTACTGTAAAGGGCTGTGGTCTCCATGCAGGGAAGCACATGGTCACACATGTCCACACACATACCTGCACTGAGCATACACACAGGCACACATCTTTCTGGAGAGGCATCCAAGTGCCCTCATGGCCCCTTTAAGAGTTAGAGGAAAAGATGCTGGCACTGGGGTGGAGCCCAATCTCTTGTGTCACAGGCTGGGCCACACCCCCAGGCTCTGGTCCAGTTGTGGATGGGAGTCAGTGGGAGGGGCTCCCAGAGACCTAGCTTTGGTGAGGGTGGGAATTGGCTAGGACCTTCTGAGCTCTAGACAAATTGGGTGTAATTAGAGTATGTGGATTTGGTTCTGGAGTTTTTTGTCTTTGTCTTTTTCTTTCACTTTTATTATGAGATTAAAAAGCTACATTATGAATGTGGAAGAAGGGACAATGCTATTCTCAGTGATTAACAGCAGGGGCTGATGGGAACCAAAAGCTCTGGGAATAAAAAAAAAATTGTATGCATTTTATAGATGGCATTATGCCTGAGTCCCAGAAAATCAGGAAGTAGCAGCAGAAGGCAACCAGCACACAGAAACACACATGTGGACTTCCCTGGCGGCGCAGTGGATGGAGTACACCTGCCAGTGCAGGCCACATGGCTTCAATGCCTGGTCTGGGAATATCCCACATGCAGCAGCGTGACTAAACCCATGTGCCACAGCTACTGAAACCTGTGTGCACTATGGTCAGTGCTCTGCAACTAGAGAAAGCCCACTCACAACAGTGAAGTCTCAGCACAGCTAAAACTCAACCAATAAATAATTAAAAAAACCTCTTTATTAAAAAAAAAAAGAACTGTGTGTCACTGCACACTCAAGCAATGCAGTTATTTTGACGATGGGAACAGCAACTCCCTCCCCTCTCCAAACAATCTGTCCAAGAAAATTTGAAAAGAAGCTTCCCCTTTAAGAACAGGGTCACCCAGTAATTTTTGCCTTCCCAATCAGAAAAAAGAAGAGGACAGAAAAAAAACAAAGCAGGCTACCACAACTTTAAGGCTGGCAAAGGCCATGCTTTTCTCCCTGCAGAGGCAGGACTGCAGTTTTGATCACTGAGGCAGGAGGGCCACATTGCTGTCCCTCACCAACACAACCCTAGGGTTCTTCGGCAGCTCCTTTGGTGATTCCCCAGAGCATAGTTGGGATGGAAGGTATTGAGCCCTGGCTTCCTCTAAGATGCCCTCTAGGGAGTGGTGTTTAGTGAGCCTGCAAAAATTCTGGAGCCAGTCTCAGGTGGGGCTGAGCACCAGGTGGGGCCCCGGGGCCCAGGGCCTGTGCTTTAAATCTCCTGCCAACTGGGAATTACTGACCTCCAGAGACTCCAACGCTCCACTAGGAGAGAGTGTCCAGTGACTTACCACCTACCTTCACCCTCCAAAAATCACACAGACAATTACCAGGTAAGGCACCCCAGCGGGACAGACAGCTTTTGGCAATGAGGCCCCTCTGGAGGCCCAGGGTGTGAACAGCTGCACAGAGGGCTGTGTGACATGGAGTCAGCACCTTAGAAGGTGGGAGGGGGCGGTGGGCAGAGGAGGAACGAGTCTCAGGTCCTGACGGATCAGAAGAAGGGAGATGGGAAGAGGTGGTCAGGACACAGAAGGTGAGAAAACAGACACTCAGAATGGGGGTAAAGGCAGAAAATGTAGAAAAGATGAGCAAAGCAAGAGAAAGAAGCAAAAGAGAATGGGGGCTATCACATAAGACAGGAAGGAGACAGAGCAGAAGGAGGGAAGGAAACAGAAAAGAGAGTGAGATGAATGGGGAAGGATGTGAGGAGGGAGAGACGGAGCCAGGAAGAGGGCACCAGAGGATGTCAGAGCTCAGTAGAGATCTGTGAGCAGAGAGGATCAGGAGTCTGTGGGTTGACCCCCAGCCCCTACAGAAACCTGGTGGGCCCAGTACCCCAGGTCGGCCATGTAAATCAGCAGGTTGATGGCTGTTAGAATGGCCACAGCCAGGCGCTGGTCCCAGGTGCACATGCCATTGGTAGTTCTATCAGTGCAGTTCACATCACTGGACTGCTGGGGCTGCCCACCATACTTCTCATCAAAGTGGTAGAGCAGCNTTGCTCAGTCGTGTCTGACTCTTTGCAACCCCATGGACTGCAGCATGCCAGGCCTCCCTGTCCATCACCCACTCCCAGAGCTTACTTAAACTTATGGCCATCGAGTCTGTGATGCCATCCAACCATCTCATCCTCTGTTGTCCCCTTCTCCTCCTGCCTTCAATCTTTCCCAGCATCAGAGTCTTTTCAAATGAGTCAGTTCTTCGCATCAGGTGGCCAAAGTATTGGAGTTTCAGCTTCAGCATCAGTCTTTCCAAAGAATATTCAGGACTGATTTCCCTTAAGACTGACTGGTTTGATCTCCTTGCGGTCCAAGGGACACTCAAGAGTCTTCTCCCACACCACAGTTCAAAAACATCAATTCTTTGGTGCTCAGCTTTCTTTATAGTCCAACTCTCACATTCATACATGACTACTGGAAAACCCATAGCTTTGACCATATGGACCTTTGTCAGCAAAGTGATGTCTCTGCTTTTGAATATGCCATCTAGGTTTGTCATAGCTTTTCTTCCAAGGAGAAAGTGGCTTTTAAATTCATGGCTGCAGTCACCATCTGCAGTGATTTTGGAGCCCAAGAAAATATAGTCTGTCACTGTTTCCATTGTTTCCCCATCTATTTTCCATGAAGTGATGAGACCAGATGCCATGATCTTAGTTTTCTGAATGTTGAGTTTTAAGCCAACTTCTTTCACTCTCTTCTTTTACATTCATCAAGAGGCACTTCAGTTCCTCTTCATTTTCTGCCATAAGGGTGATGTCATCTGCATATCTGAGGTTATTGATATTTCTCCTGGCAATCTTGATTCCACCTTGTGTTTCATCCAGCCCAGCATTTCGCATGATGTGCTCAGCATATAAGTTAAATAATATACAGCCTTGACATACTCCTTTCTCAATTTGGAACCAGTTCATTCTTCCATGTCTGGTTCTAACGGTTCCTTTTTGACCTGCATACAGATTTCTCAGGAGGCAGGTAAGGTGGTCTGGTATTCCCATCTCTTTCAGAATTTTCCACAGTTTGTTGTCATCCACACAGTCAAAGGCTTTGGCATAGTCAATAAAGCAGATGTTTTTCTGTAACTCTCCTGCTTTTTTGATGATCCAACAGATGTTGGCAATTTGAAACCACCAGAGTGGTTTCTCTGCCTTTTCTAAATCCAGCTTGAATATCTGAAAGTTCTCAGTTTGCATACTGTTGAAGCCTGGCTTGGAGAATTTGGAGCATTACTTTGCTAGCGTGTGAGATGCATGCAATTGTATGGTAGTATAAACATACTTTGGCATTTCCTTTCTTTGGGATTGGAATGAAAACTGACCTTTTCCAGTCCTGTGGCCACTTTTGAGTTTTCCAAATTTGCTGGCATATTGACTGCAGTACTTTAACAGCATCACCTTTTAGGACTTGAAGTAGCTCAGCTGGAATTCTATCACCTCCACTTGCTTTGTTTGTAGTGATGCTTCCTAAGTTCCACTTGACTACAGACTCCAGGGTGTCTGGCTTTAGGTAAGTGATCACACCATCATGGTTATCTGGGTCACTAAGTTCTTTTATTGTATAGTTCTTCTGTGTATTCTTGCCACCTCTTCTTAATACCTTGTTTTTGTTAGGTCCATACATGTCTGTCCTTAATTGTGCCCATCTTTGCATGAAAAGTTCCCTTGGTATCTCTAATATTCTTGAAGAGATCTCTAGTCTTTCCCATTCTATTGTTTTCCTCTATTTCTTTGCACTGACCACTGAAGATGGCTTTCTTATCTCTCTTTGCTATTCTTTGAAATTCTGCATTCAGATGGGTATATCTTTCCTTTTCTCCTTTGCCTTTAGCTTCTCTTCTTTTCTCAGCTATTTGTAAGGCCTCCTCAGACAATCATTTTGCCTTTTTGCATTTCTTTTTCTTAGGGATGGTCTTGATTATTACCTCCTGTACAATGTCATGAACTTCCATCCATAGTTTATCAGGCACTCTGTCTATCAGACCTAATCCCTTGAATCTGTTTGTCACTTCCACTGTATAATCATAAGGGTTTTTATTTAGGTCATATCTGAATGGTCTAGTGGTTTTCCCTACATTCTTCGATTTAAGTCTGAATTTGGCAAAAAGGAGTTAATGATCTGAACCAAAATTAGCTCCCAGTCTAATTTTTGCTGACTGTGTATAGGCCTTCTCCATCTTTGGCTACAAACAATATAATCCGTCTGATTTCTGTATCGACCATCTGGTGATGTCCATGTGTAGAGTTGTCTCTTGTGTTGTTGGAAGAGGGTGTTTGCTATGACCAGTGTGTTCTCTTGGCAAAACTCTGTTAGCCTTTGCCCTGCTTCATTTTGTACTCCAAGGCCAAACTTGCCTGTTACTCCAGGTATCTCTTGACTTCCTACTTTTGTATTTCAGTCCCCTATGATGAAAATGACACCTTTCTTTAGTGTTAGCTCTAGAAGGTCTTGTAAGTCATCATAGAACTATTCAACTTCAGCTTCTTTGGCATTAGTGGTTGGGGCATAGACTTGGATCCTAGTGATATTGAATGGTTTGCCTTGTAAACAAACAGAGATGATTCTGTCATTTTTGAGATTGCACCCAAGTATGGCATTTTTGACTCTTTTGTTGACTATGATGGCTACTTCATTTCTTCTAAGGGATTCTTGCCCACGGTAGTAAATATAATGGTCATCTGAATTAAATTTACCCATTCCAGGAGTCGACAACAATATGGTGGAGTCGAAGGATGCGCTCATTTTCTCCTGTGAGAACTCCAAAATTGGCAACTCACTGCTGAACATCCATCGACAGGAGAATGTTGGATCCAACCAAAAAAAGATACCCTATGTCTAAGGGCAAAGGAGAAGCCCTAACAAGATGGTAGGAGAAAATTTAGAGTCTTTATTTATTTCACTTAGTGTGAATGTTCAAAGGTTCAGTGCAAAAACACTCATATGTTTGTTTATAAGGTGCTTTCAGACCCTTAGAAAAAAGGGTTTGAGAAAAGGGATTGTGGATTGTACTGTGGATGACTTCTATGTTGTTTTCCATTCATATCTTTGTGTGGTTTACTTCTTCTCATGCATGCATGCATGCTAAGTTGCTTCAGCTGTATCCAAGTCTTTGCAACCCTATGGACTGTAGCCCACCAGGATCCTCTGTCCATGGGATTCTCTAGGCAAGAATACTGGAGTAATAGGTACATTTAAAAAAAAAAAAAAGAATACTGGAGTGTGTTGCCCTCCTCCAGGAGATCTTCCTGACCAAGGATTGAAACCATGTCTCTTATGTCTCCTGTATTGGCAGATGAGTTCTTTATCACTAGCACCATCTGGGAAGTCTCTTCTCATGTATAATTGATATAAAGCAGGACTATGATCATCTCCCATGTCCTGGTTTTCCCTCTTAGGCATGGCTAGGCTTCCTGCCTGCTCATATGAGCATCCACTCTTCCAATCATGTCCTCAACCTCATGTACAGCCTTCAGCACATTTCACAGGCTCTGAAATCATATGTAGAAACATGTGTACATACCTGCACATATGGTTTTAGGCGCTATCTGTATCTTTTTTCCATTTTATAAACGTGAGACAACATCATGCACATAGCATCTTGCTTTTTCACCACACCAGATGGGTGCAGCTGGGCCCCTCCAGGGACCCTAGTCCTCTCCATCCCCTTTACTTATTTCCTTCCCTCCTCGTTCTTGTGGGCATTTGGACTGACCCCCCTTCTCTAGATCAGTGGACCCTTCCCTGTGAGTCTCAGACACTGGAGGACACAGGATACGACAAGGAGTCCTGGGATCCATGTGACCACCATGCTCTAGGGAAGAAGGTCAGCAAGCTTTTCTGAAAACTTAAAAAAAAATAAGACAAAGAATACACTTTTTATTTTTGGAAATTCATCTTGATTTCCTAGGGCTACTGCAGTGAATTATCACAAGCCTGGTGGCTTGAAACAACAGAAATGTGTTCTCTCACAGTTCCGGAGGTCAGCGTTTTGAAACAAGATGTCAGCAGGACTGTGTTGTCTCTGATGCCCCGGGGAGGCCCCTTTGTCTCTTTTAGCTTCTGGAGGCGCCTTAGCTGTGTTAGCCAACTCAGGCTTGTGTGCTCATTCCTCAAGAGGCCGAACACTGAGAGATGAATGTTGGGCTTTGCCCGGGACAAGGTGCTGCACCTCCGCTGTGAACACAATCATCACCCACGTCTGTGCATCAGCCCATGGTGGGCAGCGGGTTGGAAAATATACTAATAAACGTTTCCACCATTTTTTGTGGATAATCTCTGTAAAGAGGATTGGCAATTGTCCAGTTTAGTAGGTCTGAGGTTGAAAACTGTAAGTCCAATAATAGCCAACTAGCTGTCCTCCTGCAGAGAACTGTCTTAGTGGAAATCCAACCCTACCCACCCTCGAGGACACATTGAGGCCAAGCTGAGTGACCGGTAGGTCTTAAATGGAGAGACTACTTCAGACCCTCTTTCTTATTCATGCTGTGGTGATGCTAAGGGTGTGCCCTGCCCCCATTCTAGAAGCCCTTCTCCTTCCAGAGACTCGGGAGGGGGGCAGAGACCTTGGGGCAACCTCTACCTGGGGCATTGGGATAGGAACCACAGAGGTCGGGGTGAATTCAGTTCCCTAAGAAGCTGACCCCCTCTTCTCCCTCCTTTGCCTGCAGAGACTCCTCTGTGAAGAGTGCAGGCTTTTCACACTTTAGTTTCCCTTTTGTACAATTAATTTAGTGCCCTTGTTGGAAAAATCCTTATTATGAGTAACAGGAAGACTCAAATATGGCATATCCTCCCACTTAACCAGATCTCTGACAAATCAGTTCTAACTGCAAAAAGGGGAGTAATTTAGAGACCACCCAGGACTACTGCTTTTCAGAATCAGAAACATATCTGAGCCAGGCTGTGTTATAGTTTAAAAACCATTTTTTTTCTTGGTTACAGGGTTATAGCTTTGGTTTTGCCAATCTGTCAAGATCCATCCCAGTGAGCTTCTAGAAGGGATGGATAAAGACGCCCCAGCCCCACCCCTCAATGCACTTCACATCACTTGCTCCCCTAGAGCAGATTACAAATGAACAAACTAATTCTCTGGGAGAGACTAGTATAGAGTGGCAAGCGAGTCATTTCCCACTCCTGCGGTGTCCAAAGTGAAAGTATTAGTTGCTTAGTCGTGTCCGACTCTTGCGACCCCATGGTCTGTAGCCTGCCAGGCTCCCCTGTCCACGGGATTCTCCAATAAGAATACTGGAGTGGGTTGCCATTCTTTTCTCCAGGGGATCTTCCCAATCCGGGGATCAAACTCTCGTTTCCTGCATTGCTGGCAGATTCTTTATGTCTGAGTTCCATAGAGCAAAGATTATGTCCAAATGGGTGGGAATGGGGGGCTCCCAGGGTGCACGACCCTCTACTCACTCAGTCAAGAGCTCAGCTGCTCCTTTAGAAGCCAGTTTCTTTCTCTCAACAGAAAGTGAAACAGGCTGTCCACAATGAGTGGGGAGGGATAGGGAAATTCCAGAAATTAACGAGTTTAGCAGCTGTAAAACTTAACTGTAGATCCTCCCCACCTTCCCAGCAGCAGCCCCCTCATCAACCCAAGTGTAGCTAGAGGGCAGAGACTAGGGGACCTGACTCTTACCTGGTGCACGAAGGCTCTGACTGTCACCAGGCTCTGATTAGTCTGCTGAAAAGCCAATACAGAGAGGTAAGTGTTGGATGAAAGAAAAGTAACTTTATCTTAAGGAAGCTGGCAACCAGGGGAGAAGGTGGTAACCAACGCCCAACATCGCATGGTTCAGCTGGGATTTACACAAGAGAAACAGGAAATGGTTGTAGGTTGTGTGCTGGGGGTGTGTTGTGCTTCTAGTTTTGGACACTTTGCATTAAACATAAGGCACCTTGGTGGACGGAGAACCTGAATTTGTGGTCATTACATTGTCCAAATCAGCACATCTTCTCTAGGGGTGAGTGGTCGTATATTCCTGGAAAAATGAAAACAAAGAAACAACAAAACAGGCAAAGTGAAACTGAACCAGTCCATCAAAACCCAGAGCTGTGTAGTTCAGAGATTTTATCGTAAAATAAGCAAGATTACAACATCAGTGCTGGCGACCTGCCTGACCATCACCATCACCATGAGAACCTCCTCAGGCCTGGGCTCCAGCACCTCCGTGGGCTTCTTCCTCCACTTGGGGCAGCTGCTCTCCACCTGCGTGCCCTGCTTGCTGGTGGCCAGCATGGACACTCGGAGTGAGTGCACAGTTAACTGGTCTGTGTTCCCATGGTGCTTCTGCTTCAGTGCGACCCTCACTGTCTTCATGGTGGAGTTGTGTGGCCTCCAATCCCACTTCCCCTTGATCTGCTATGACCTTCTCTACCACTATGCCTTCTATTTCACCCTTTGCTGCCTCGTCATTTTTGCCATCAACTATGTTCAGCTCTTGCTCCAGGGTCCCACCTGGAACCAGGCCATCACTGCCACTGCCTTCTCCTTCGTCAGTTCTGTGCTGTATGCCACCAAAGTGGCTTGGACCTGTGCCCTGACTGGTGATACATTTTGCTTTGTGCCTACTGGTCCGGGTGTGCTTGGGAGTCTGTTGATCTTCCTGGTCTGTGTCATTCTTGCTTTCACTTATAGCATCCTTATCAACTGTGACACCTGTTTCCAGTATACTTCTGCCATGGTAAGACAAATGATCCTGTGCTCCACCTGCTTCTACCTAGGGACCGTATCCACCCTGTTTTTCAAAGATGACAATGAAACACACTTATTTGTGTACCATCCTTTACTATAGAGGGAGACCGTGCTCTCCATCCTCCTCTATACCAGCTCTCTGGTCCTCTGGCTGTTCTACCCCTTTGAAGAAAAGCTGGGCGGGCAGCCCCTGAGGTCCAGCGATGTGAGCTGCTGTGATTAAAAACCTCACCTGCTCTGTGTGCGTCTGGGATGAATGTTGGACTGTGGCCATCTTGACATCCACTGACCTGCTGATTTACTTGGCTGACCTGCTGTACTTGGCCTTGGAGGCTTTTGTAGTGACTAAGGATGGGCCCCAGGGCTCCTGATTTCTATTTTCACCTGCAGTTTCTTCACTGAGCTCGGGATGTTCTCTTCCTGGTTCCTTCTCTCCCTTCTCACATCCTTCCCCACTCATCTCCTTCCCTTTCCATTTCCTTCCCTCCTTCTGCTCTGTCTTCTTGTTTTCTTTGTTGGCCCAAGCCCTGTTTTGCTTCTTTCTTTTTCCTCTCTCACCTTTTCTACATTTTCTGCTTTTTGCCCCTTTTCTGGTCATCCTTGATTTTCTCGTCTCCTGTGTCCTGACTACCTCTCCCCATTTTCCTTCTTCTGATCCATCAGGACCTGACACTCCTTCCTTCTCTGCTCACTGCCCCCTCCCACCTCCTAAGGTGCTGACTCCACAGCACACAGCCCTCTGTGCAGCTGTTCACACCCTGGGCCTCTGGAGGGACCTCATTGCCAAAGTGTGTCTGTCCCCCTAACAGTGTCTTATTTGGAGATGTGGGGGGGAAGGGCTGGGGGTGAGGGTGGGTAGCTAGAGATTCAGGCCCCCATCTCCCATGGGAGAGGAGCATTCAGTGCACTTGCCTTTTAGCTTAAAATCTCTGGAGGTCTATAATTTTCACTGGCAGGAGTCTTGAAGCAGAGACCCTGGGTCCCTAGACCTCACCTGGTACTCAGCTCCACCTAAAACTGGCTCCAGAATTTTTGCAGGCTCACTAAACACCTGCTACCTAGAAGGCTTCTTAGAGGAATCCAGGGATGAATTCTTTCCATCCCAACTACTTTCTGGGAAATAAAAAAAAGAGCTGGTGAAGAACCCCAGGGTCTTAAAGACAGCTGTCTGTAGTGTTGGTGAGAGGCAGAGATGCGGCCCTCCCGCCTCAGTGATCAAAACAGCAGGTCCTGCCTCTGCAGGGAGAAGAGCATGGCCACTGCAGCCTTAAAGCTGATGTTAGCCTGGGATTTTTTTCTTTTCTATTTCACTGTCTCAAGGGCAAAAGTTACCAGGTGACTATATATTTATACGGATATTTTCTTTTCCAATTTTTATTGGGGGATGGTGTTGGGTGGGTGGGTATTGCTGATGCCATAGTTGAAGAAACTGCATTGCTTGAATGTGTACTGCATACACGTGTGTTTCTGTGTGTCAGTTGTTTTCTGATGCTGCTTCCTGCTTCTCTGGGAACCACATATCTTTTGATCTAAATAAATGTAACTATACATATATTTTTTAATTCTCTGGAATTTCTGAATACCATCAAACCTTGCTGTTCATAGAGAGAAGCCTGTCCTTTCTCCCATATTATAACGTTCTTTTTAAAATCTCAATACAAATATAAAAGAAAAAAAAAAATAAACCAGCCATAGCCTAATTGTCCCAAATGTTCTTAGAACTCAGAAAAACTGAGCAGATTTTTATTCTTACCCAAACCCCCATCTCTGGGAGCCCTTCCCAATGTGTCTGCACTCCCACATTTCCTGAGAACCTAGGGACATGGCCCAGCCCAAAATGACTAGCAGTTGTGCCCCCAATACTAGACTTTCTGTCCCCTTAGCTCTTAAAGGGTCCCACCCTAGGTGACTGTATTTAAAGATGTTGTCCCTGCATGCATGCCCAGTGTGTGTGTTTGCCTGTATATGTGCCTGTATGTCTGTGCTCACATGTGCATTGGGACCAGCAGACTACAGTAGCTGGCGGCCATGAAGACACTACAATCTTTCTTCCTCGCCTGCTCTCAGCCACAAAGCCCCAGAGCCCAGCATGCTAGTGTCTCGAGGGCCAGAGGGGCCAGGCAAGCAGAGCTGTGGGGGAGGGAAGGGGAGGACCCCCACTGCTGCCCCTCACTCCTGTACTGGGATGAAGCATGTGATCTTCACCCACGGGAAGGTGGGGTGGATGGGCAGGGCTCCAGGAGGTGGTCCCCATCGCAGATAAATCTTAAGAAGCAATGAAATAAAATTAATGTTTTCAGGTAAGACAAAAAACATTTTAAAGGCCTTCTCTGCCTGTTTTGACCTCCCCCCTCCCCTCTAGTGTGCAGTGTGCATCTGCGGTATGTGTTAATCAGCCCTCCTAAGGGCAGAAATACCTGAACCACCATAAAGATCTGCCGAGGTCCAGCCCCGGCAGGACCAGGAATACCCAAGGGATGAGTGGCGTCAGCATGGAAGAAGACAGACAGACAGACACACACACACAGACGTTGCGTAGAAGAGGTAGCTTTTTTTTTATTTTTAGGAT